TTGGGTTCCGCGAAGAACCAAGATGAACAAGAGGAAAACCCAGCATCGGGTTCCATGAGGAATCAAGATGATGAAGAGGAAGAGGATGGTGAAGATGGTGAAGAGAATGGTGAAGAAGATAAACGGTGAGATGATGATGCCGAGGATTAGGCTGAGGATGAGGAGAAAGAAGAAGATTGATGAAATGAAAGTTAATTAACTTAATTATTTTAAAATTCATTTAATTTATAAATTCATTTTTATTTGACGTGGAAAAAATTATTTAAAAAAAATTGCCACCTCATCACTTTTAGCATGATATGTTTTCCACGTAATTATTATTTGTCTAAGAATATGATTTTGTGGCATTTTAACGTGCCACCTGTCATTTAACTGACAGAAGGATCATTTTGGTACCGAAAATGAAAGTTTAAGGATAATTTTGGTACTTTTTAAAGCTGAGGGACAATTTTGGTACCAAAGTGATAAGTTGAGGGACCAAAATGGTACTTAAACCGGAAAATTACCATGCTTGTTTCGGTCAAGCATACTGACCGAAACAAGCTGGAATATCTGCACTCAAATCTTGCATGCTTGTTTCCGTCAGTATGCTTGACCGAAACAAGCTGCAAAATCTACAAAACTACAGATCTTACATGCGTGCAAAGCTAACAAAATTAAGCATACTTATTTCGGTCAGTTATACTGACCGAACTAAGCATGCAAAAATCTGCATTTTGCAGACCACACCATGGCAAAATTCCCATGCTTGTTTCGGTCAAATGGATTGACCGAAATAAGCATGGTAAATTTTTTTTTTTTGTTATTTGGGATTTTGATGACGGGGGTTTGCAAATTAGTGAGCATTTTTTCGGTCAATATTGTTGACCAAAATATGAATATTAAAAATTATTTATTAAGGTTTAACCGGGAGTGGTGGTTATTAGAGCAATTTATTCGGTCATTGTGCTTGACCGAATAAATTGCTCCATTAATTTCGGTCAAAATTCTTGACCAAGTTATGTTAGAAGGCAATTAATTTGGTTAACTGTATTGACCGAAATAAGTAGAGACCGAATTATATGGTTTTTTCCATTTGTTTCGGGCGAAATTGATTTTTGGTCAGTAAATTTGACCGAATTAATGTTTTTTCGAACAAAAAATTTGCTTGACCAAAATACTATGACCGAAATGGTCAACTTTTTAGTAGTGTGTCGAGGCCTGCAAACACAACACCAATCTCGGATCCAAGGTTTGTAAACAATATAATTTCTTACAAATTAAAATTTCAAGATAATTTAGGTTTTGTTTATTATCGTTGCAATTTTTAGATTTTATTTTGGTTTTAAAAAATTTAAAAACTCTATAATAAATCTAAGAAGTTTTATCAATTAATTAAGATTTTGTTTAATATGGTTTTGGTTTAAAAAGTTTTTATTTTGATTTTTATAAATTTTGTAGTTTTAAATAAAAAACTCATTTATTTTCTCGTACTTTTATAATACATTATTATGATTATTAAAAAAAAGGAACAAAAATACCTTTAATGCTATTAAACAAATAAATATTTTTATTTTCCTGTGTTAAAATTTGTTATTGGCAAATTTAAAAATTTTGACTTTTAGTTTTGATTTTCAGCAATTACAAAATTTATAAAAAAAGCTTAAAACTACAATCATACAAAATAAAGCCTAAGTTTTTGGTTTTGGATATTAGTTTCAAAATTTATATAGTACTCAATACTTTAAGTCCATAATTTTAATTTTTGCTTTTGATTTTTAATTACTAATTTTCATTGTTTAAATTTTAGCAACAAAGTCAAACTCTATAACTATTATTATATATTAAACAAAGCCTTATATTTTACTTATAATACTCTTAAGAAATAGGATAAGGATGAAGAGAAGATTTTAGGAGATAACAATAGGCTTAAAGCCCAACCTTCCCGAGGAGTTGAGTTTTTCTGAGAAAATTGATTAGTTAGAGTGCTAAATAGAAATTTACTTAGTTTTGTAATGAAGTTTTGTTTAAATTTTATTGAATTGTTAATTTTGTTATATTTGATAAGAAATTGACATAAGAAAAATATAGAGAATTAGTTAATGGAAAAAAGTTATTAAATGAGTTTAAATAAAGATGGAAAAAAAAGTATGGGTCAAAAGAAATAAAAGTTAAAAATATTATTATTGCCTTTTATTCATTATAATTTTAAAATAGATAAATACTAAAATATCCTTATAAATTCTGGAAGGGGACATTTTCCAAAAAAATAATAATAATAATAATAAGCCAAACACTCCCTAAAAGAAAATGAGCGACAATTCCCACCTTTTTTTGTTTTGTCTCAAAAATTACTTTGTTGATGATGAGTTGATGACTGATGAGAAATGTTTCATTTTCAAAGATTGTCCTCCATCTGTTGCCCCCTCTTGTTATGTTGTATATGCTATGTCTTTGTGCATGAATTTTTATATTTATTACTTTTAAAAAAAAAATTTAGGAATGTTGTAACTTGAAAGACATGCAATTTTAGTGTTGTCTGCACGCTTTTCCTTTTCTAGACGATGCATTACAACTTTATCCTCTTTCATAGCGGCCTCTCTCTAGTAGTTGAAATTGTAAAATGAAAATAAAAAGGGAAAGGGAAGTTGAAGGACTTGGAAAGTTGGAATAGATCAGTTGAAGGTTACCGGAGAATGTAGGATACATAAATAGGGGGAGACCATATTCACATTGCCAATGTCGTTTTGCGATATACTAAGTCGGTGTTGCTATGTTTTCAAATAATTGCAGACTTCATTATGAGAATGTTTGTCGATTCTTTTTTTTAATTTGTATATTTTTTATTGTTTTAAAAATATATAAAATATTAATTAAGATAAATATTAAAATGTGTTGACAAAATCGTGCCACGTAGCAAAACAATTAACGGAATGCAATGGGGACATGCAGAGCACCCGTCTTCCCAGGTAACTTGGAAAAAATTAAGCTGAAGGACTTCCACCTTCGGGAAGACGATAAATACTGGTGTCCGGCTTTTCAAAATCCATTACTCATCTGTTTGCCGAATTGTGTTCATCTTTACGAAAATGGGAAGGTTAATACGGTTTTCCCAAATCCTCTGCCTTTCCTTCATGTTGTTACAGTTTCGAGTCCAAAGCTCCTCACCTTCTCAATCTTCTCTTGATTCACCGCCACATTTGTGCCGTCCCGAAGAGCGCGCTGCATTGCTTGATTTCACAAGCACTATTAATTTGGTGGAAGATTGTTTTGGTGGTCCTCGTCCTATAATACAAACTTGGAGCGAGAGTAAGACTGCTGCTTGTGGGAGGGCATCACATGCGACAAGCCGAACGGTCATGTGATTGGTCTTGATCTTAGCAGTAATTGTCTTGAAGCCAATTTAACTACAAATAGTAGTCTTTTCCGTCTTGAGAAATTGCAGAGCATCAACCTCACTTACAATTATTTTAGGTACCCCAAAATCTCATTCGGGTTCGACTGTTGGAAGAGTTTGACATATCTTAGTCTCTCACGTATGAATATTTTATTTTTTTTCTTTTATTTAAAATCTCCGTGCTTCCAAACTGTTTTCATTTTTTCTAATCTGACAAATCTTCAACCTTACAGATTCGAGATTTATGGATGGCTCTCTTTTATTTGAGATCTTCTTGCTACCGAAATTGGTTTCACTCGATCTCTCTGACAATGATTTGCTTCTTGACAACATAAAGTTTCAAATGCTTGCACATAACTTAACAAAATTAAGATTTCTTAATCTTGGTTTTGTGAATATGTCTCTGGTTGTGCCTTCTTCCTTGCTAAACTTGACTTCTTCCTTGGAGCATTTGAACCTTTACTTTTGTAGTTTGCAAGGAAACTTTCCAAGCCAAGTTTTTCAGCTTCCATCTCTCTAGCTTCTTGATTTCAGTTACAACTATGAATTAAGAGGTAATTTTCTTGGGTCAAATTGGAGTAGTCTTCTCAAGTATTTTTATCTTACAAAGACAAGCTTCTTAGGAGAGTTGCCTCATTCAATCGGAAAGCTTAAACTCCTAGAGGAATTGAATCTCAATAGCTGTCAATTTTATGGATCAATTCCTAGATCTCTTGCAAATCTTACCAAGATAACTTACCTAGATTTTGATTCCAACCTTTTGCAAGGGCAAATTCCAGATGTTTTTAGAAAAATGCACAAGCTAACTCATTTGAGCCTTCTTAATAACAGTTTTGGTGGTGAAATTCCTACATCAATCTTCAACCTCACTGATCTTACTCATTTGACACTGTCATCAAATAAGCTTATAGGGCCTCTTCCTCACTATATAAGTGGACTCTCATTTTTACAAGAGTTTCGAATGGATAATAATTTCATCAAAGGTCGTATACCATCTTGGTTGTTTTCTTTGCCTTCTTCATCCTTTTTAGACCTTCGAAACAATAGACTTACCAGACCTATTGACAATGTTGAGATGTCTAATCTCATTTTACAAGAAGTTGATTTGTCCAATAATGAGATAAGTGGTTCATTTCCCAGCTCTTTCTTTCATCTTGTGAATCTTGCTAGGGTCGACCTTTCTTCAAATAATTTAAGTGGGACCATTACACCTGAAATGCTTTCGAAGCTGGTAGACCTTCGGTATCTTGATCTTTCCAACAATAGTTTGCTGTCTGTGAACAATAATGATACCAGTGTCTACTATTCCTTCCCGAACCTTTCGTCTTTAAGATTCTCTTCTTGCAACATACTCAAGTTTCCAAGTTTCTTAAGGAAGGCAGAGAGTTTGCTACACTTGGATATTTCCAAGAACAATATTTCTGGTCAAATTCACAAATGGGAAATAGAAGGGATGTCATTGTATACCTTAAACCTTTCTTATAATTTCTTGACTGGTATAGATTCATTTGGTTTTGGAAATCTTGAAATTGTTGACCTCAGATCCAACTTACTACAAGGATCACTTCCCATTCTATCAGCAACTTGGGATTCTATGCAACAACTCTTCATTTCAGAGAATAATTTGACTGGTGAAATCCCTTCTTCTTATTGCAATTTGACTTCTCTTATAGTTCTGGACTTAGCTAATAATAATTTGGGATGAAAAATTCCATAATGTCTTGGAAACTTGAGAAATCTCTTAATCTTGGATCTGCATATGAATAAGTTTCATGGTAGAATACCAAATTCTTTTGTCAACATGAGTGAACTCACAACCCTTCAAATAAATGGTAACCAGTTGGAAGGGATACTTCCACCGTCTTTGGTTAATTGCAATTATTTGGAAATTCTAGATGTGGGGAACAACAACTTGAATGATACCTTTCCACATTGGTTAAGTGTTCTTCAATCGCTAAAAGTTCTCATCCTTCGATCTAATCAATTCATGGTAACATCAGCAATTCTATGCCTGCATTTTACTTCCCTCAATTGAGAATCATTGATGTCGCGCAGAATGATCTTGTGGGTTTCCTACCAAATAACTATTTCAAAATTTTGAAAGGTATGAGAGATGTAGCTCCAGCTGATAAAGTCAAATTCGAATACATTGGTGATTTTGAATTTTATCATGAGGATTCTGTGAAGATAGTAATGAAAGGGTCCATGGTGAAGCTTGAAAGGATCTTGAAAATTTTCACAACGATAGTTTTCTCAAGCAATCAAATTCATGGACCAATTCCTGAAGAGCTAGGAGAACTCAATTCACTTTTATTGCTAAACTTATCTCACAAAAGTCTCAATGGTCAAATCCCATCATCATTGAGGAAATCAGTAGAACTCGAGTCATTAGATCTCTCATCAAACAACCTTGAAGGCAAGATTCTTGAGCAATTGACATATCTGACATTTTTATCAATTTTGAATCTTTCACACAATGAACTTGTGGGCCACATACCTGAAGGGAAGCAGTTCAGTACTTTCTCAAATGATTCCTACATCGGAAACTCTGGGTTGTGTGGATTCCCATTGACGAAGAATTGCCACGAAGAGGAAGAACCAGAAGCACCTCCAAAATTTTATGAAGAGGATGACTCTGCAACACTCTTTGAGTGGAAGTTTGCATTGTAGGCTATGGGTGTGGACTGGTGTTGGGACTTAGTTTGGGATATATTTCCTTCACTACAAGAAAACCATGGTGGGTGGTGAAGAAAGTGGAGAAATATCAACAGAAATTAGTTGGAAGGGGCAACTGAAAGCATAAGAAGAGGAAAACGCAAAAACCCAACCAACACTCTCAGGTGAGAAAGTCTCCACAACTCTCACTATAATATTTGTGTTCTATCTAAGTTCTAACCATAAAAATAAATTATATTAATAATAGTTAAACTTAATTTTTCTACTTTTGCTTTATTTTACATAGGTGCAAGTAGGTGCAGTTGATTTCCTATTCCGGCGAGATATGGCAACAATTGCTTCTTGAGTTTGTTTCCATCTTTTTCATGTTCATTGTTGATATATAGTTGTGTTGACTTGTGTGGGAATTATGGTTATGCATGAATTTGTGTTAATTTCTTTTGGATTTCATCTATGTACTCTGCTCACAGTTGCTCATGTATTTTTCTTGATGTAGTTTGTTTCCTATGATGTTATCTCTTGGTATTTTCTTCTCTCTTCCTTTGTGTTGGTTGTCTTTGAATGGTGCGTTTTACTGAAGTACAGTGTAAAAATTCTTTAATTTTTGGACCCCCAAATATCTCCTTTCACCATATTTCTCCGATCGGTGTGGAAGCAGAGACGCATCTAATGAATCTTGGATGGCAGCTAAGTGATTTCGAGGAGGATTATTACTTAAAAGGGTTGGGTGAGGGACGATCCCAACCTCCTTTGCTCTCCAGAGGGCCACCCTTTAGCCATCGCCAAACTCAAGTCTTATTCTTTGGCTGGTGATTTGATTCATAGGCAAGTAACTTTCTATTGGTGTTTTCCTTTTGTTTTGCTAAGATATTAACTTCTGTCTTAGCGGAGAAAGTTGTAATTCTGAGGTGCATACACTATATTCATGGCTAGTCAATGTAGGTCATACCATGTAGAGTAGAGATCGTTCAATTTGATCTTATTTTGCGGACATAAATTAGAGTTATATTTATTGTTCTTTCTATGAACTCATCAATGGATATTTTTCTTACAAATGATATATCTTGCGAGCAACCTAAAATTGAGAGTCCGTGGAGCTAAGAGAGAGAGACGACCCAAGATGACATCCTCAAGAAAGGTTTATGTTATCATGGCTGAAGCAATTGCTTGTTTTGATGGCTTTGATATTCAGATACTTATTTTGCAGTGAAAGGCTAAGAGTTATTGTTGAAACTTGAAAAAAGTCTTAACTTGTTATTGTCATTGATATTAGGTTGTCTTGTGAATTATTTCTTGTGTCTGATGAGAAGCTAAAATAAAGAAAGTTGTGTCTGGTGGATATTTTTCTTTTCGTGTCGCATTCCTTAAGGAAAGACAATTCATTTATCAAGAATGTAAACTGTTCCATTAAGAAAACTATGTAACAACCTAAATTTATTGTAAGTTCTATTTATCTAACAGTCTATTTCAATAAGGTCAAGCACTTGAATTTGTTTAGCAACCTCAATTTCCTATAAGTTCTATTTGTGGCATTTCTTAATTTTTTTTGTTAGCTGTGTTGTATTACGTCCCAGACCTAGTTTCGCGCTTTTTGTTTCTCATTTTGCTCTGTGCACTCACCAAAACTATGTATTACTTTGGGTCTGGATTAACAAATAGAGATTCCTTATTGTTATGGGATTCAATTAATTATAGTCTAATGGAAATTGCGAAACTAGTTAATGTAGGTCTTATGTGTCAATTCATCCTGTATGCTATTGCTTTTTAAATTTTATTTGCCTTTTTACCTTTATGGGATTAGCACCCTTCTTTTAGTTGTCTTAATTCTTATTTGTTTTTTTCAAAGCCTTTTGAATGTTTTATTGTTTTTACTTTGACGTTTTTGGCAAATCACTGCAGAAATGGGAAAACTCACCTTGTCTCAGAGTGGTACATTGTCTACCATATCCAGTTCACTTGGCTATATATTGCTACTGTCAGACACTTGGACACTTGTTGATGCTACTGCAGAAGGTTTGTTCCGTCCGAGTCATTTTGAATATCTTTAAACTGTGGAGATGGAGCTATCTTAACTGAATAATGGATTTCCCATACTCTTTCAGGGATATAATGGAGATGTTAATCAATGAAGGTTGTTCGGGTGAAGTTCCTCTTAAACTTGAACCAACAAAGAATGACTATTCCTTCGTAAAACAAATTCTTGAGGTATATATGCATGATCTTTAAGATATGTTTAGATTGGAGAAAGAAGTCTACAGATAGAAATCAATTTTCTTTTAAATATAATATGAAAATCTGTCACCCACTGGATTTATTGACAGGGAGTTTTAGTGTGGAAATGGTACCCCACTACTTTACCCACTAAGTGCTTTTGTTATATTACTATTGCTAGTTCTAGTGCTTTTAATTAATATGTTGTGTTGTTGCAAAAATTACTGACATAATCCTTCTCTATTGGTGGAACTCGAGGTGATTCCTTATATAATTAGAGCCTGCTGCTTGCAAATTGATTCTATAGAAGTGCTTCAAATGGTCTAAAGTATTCAGTAATTATTGGGTTTATGATTTTAAAATAATAATAATAATAATTGAAGAAAAGAGTTATTCCCTGTTTCATTTTTAGTTATTCTACTTCCTCTTTTTCAGTGAATAATGGAAATTTTCTGAAGTTATTCTAGTTTTTCAATTCAGCTGCTTTCATTGTCGAGCAGTCTGTGCATTCATCATAGGAGATGATGATGTGATCTTGACTTTCAATTAGTAAGTTTGTTCTGTTTTGCAATAGTATAATATGTAGCTCATTTCATAATAGATCACAGCAAAAATTTATGCTTTTATCTTGTAACTAAAACTAAGGATTTTTGGAAGTTGAAATGTATAATTCTTTTATCAAGAATCTAAATTTTTTCTTTAAAAAAACAGAAACAATGTTAGAAGATTAAGTTCATATAGCTGATCTTTGTTTCTCTTTGTACTTAACTAACATCATAATGACATTTTGTAACAACCTCAATTTACCGTACGTGTACAAGTTATATTTGTAGTGTTTTTTATTTAATTTTTAGCTAGCTACATTTCCTCTTTTTAGTGTCCCAATGTTCTGCTTTTTCTTTCTCATTTTGTTGTGTGTACCCATTGATGCTTTTGTAAGTATGGACCTGTATTAATTGCCAGAAGTCCTTATTGTTTTAAGATACAGTTAAAGTGTAATAGAAATAGGGAATGTAATTTAGGCAGGCCTTACTTGTTTCTGTTCATGTGTTGTTTGTGTATCAGTTAATAGTTATGGTAACTGTTGCATTTTGAATTTTATATGTCATTTAGCATATGAGATTAGCATTCTCTTTTTAGTCTTCCGAAATCTTATTTGAATGTCTTATTGATTTCATTACAGCTTCACCTTTGACATGTTTGAAGGATCCCCCTGGAAAGGAAAGGGTGAAAAACACACCATGCCACTGAGTAGCACTGCAACAACCGATTCACTTGGTCATGTATCGCTCTTAGACACTTATTAGGCACTCGTGGTGCAATTGTGGAAGGTTTGTTCTGTTCCAGTCATTTAGATTATCTTTAGAGCTGGAGCCCTCTCTTTGAACAATGGATTTCACTCACTTTTTCAGTGGTATCGTGATGCACTATCAATGGAGATGTTGCCCGGCTCAAGTTCCTCTTACCAAAACCCATAAGAGTGCCTACTGTATAAATAAGTTGTCCGCATATCATTAAGCTTGTTGTCTGTCTTCTTAATTAGCATAAGCTTGATGGTGCTACGTGTCCATGATAGAAGTTGGCTGGCTGTGATTTTGCCATATTGTGAACAGATGAAAGGGCGACCAGGCACAAGTTGTTGATAGGATGCATTAGGCACCATGGGAAAAGCTCAAGCGCAACCAAAGTGCTGCCTCATGGAGGAAGCGGTTGGTACTGGATGGACTATGGTCTGTCTTAAATAGAATTTGGATAGCTTTTGGGCTACATATGGATAAGAGTTGGCCTTGTAAGTGTGTGGATTCCTTGTGATTATCCATGTGATGGGTTTAAATTATCAATTTGAAGTCCATGGTTTATTGGTTGGCCGAGCCGAAGTGCCGAAGTGCCGAACTGCTAGGAATGGCCCAGCTTCCCTCCTGCCACCAGTCTTTAAGACCCTTGCCCCAACGAGCAAACTCTCCTGAGATTGTACTAATTTTGTAATTTTATTGTGGATGAGTTGCATATTTTAAAATTCTTCTCTTCTTAATATTGTTGGCTACGCTATTTTTGTCACTGAAATTCAATCATCAAGCGCAATGGAAGAAGCGAAGCAGATGTTGTATTGGAAGCTTCGATTCAAAATTGAATTAATTGTTAAAATAATTAAAGATGAATGAAATTTTGAGAGTTTTGACAAAATAAAATTTTATTGATATCAAATCTGTAGAGAAAGTCACACCTGAAATTTCACTAATTACAAGATGAGAGTGAAGAAGAAATCAATATAATATTCCTTTGTACACAGTAACCATCACTATAATATTTCATTTACCGATTTAAACACCAAGATTGTAAATAAAAACACAGGTAAGAATTTGTTAATACCGATAAGAAGAGAGAAGAAGAGGGTGTCGGCAACAACTGAACCATTGTACATTCATTCTACTACCTAACAGCATTCTAAACCATGGCGCAAGACCACCCACGTTGAATTGAAGATGATGAAAATCACCCACGTTTGCCGATGAAAATGAAAAAAAGAAAGAAGGAAAAACCACTTACCACGATGATTTGCAATAGCCAAAACAGTGAATGAGCTTTTGGAAATTGGGTGTGGACGGGGCACCAAACTGGGTCTTAAAATGGAAGATTGCTGGCTCACTTTGTTGGCCTCAAGAATTAGGATGGAAATTGGGCTGAACGAAAAGCAGGGAATTGGATACATTAGTAACGATTTCAGCCCACTTGGTTTGGGCTTTAGAAGATATAGAATTGGGTATTTTTAGAGAGATTTTTTTGTACTCAATTTTCAATATAAGGTACTCGAGATAAGAGATTAACCATTTTGTGTGGAAATTTTTGAAGAAAAGCATTTACCTCTATCATCATAACACATAAAATAAAAGAACATGACGAACAGTACATGTATTAGGTTATTCAAAATTAGTTTTCTTACGAGGAAATTGCCTCCTAGGGATTGGAAAGCATAGTAGCTGGGGAAGCAAAAATGTATCAGCGGGATTACCTTTTAAAAAAAAAGAAAAAAAGTTAATAATTGATAATTTATATTTAATGATAGATATTTATTACTATTTATAATTTAAAATATTTAATCCATTCATTTAAAACTAGTAGTCGATACTTA